TCGCCCCATTTTCCACTGCACAAGATGGTGTTGAGGAAGAAAGGGAGAGAGGAAAATACCAAGCGAGGGAGAGAACGAGAGAGAGGCCTTTGCATATCCTTGTCTTACCTGTAAAACCAGTCCAGACTGAGCTGTACACCAGTACAGAATAAAAGAATAGAAGAAGGGAGGACTCAGATGTAAGGGATTACCCAAAATCACTTGCTGTGGGAAGGACTCCTTGTCTCTCTCTATCAGTCACACACATCTGGACGCACCCATTTGAATTTCATGTTGTCTTCATTGAGGACATGCACCTAATCTACATAATCTGCCTGATAATTCAGCACATTCCCAACGGTTTCTGCAACTAGGCGAGCAGTATCGTACTGCACCCTTGGTAATTTTCATAATGACACACTGACACTCCCACACGTTCTCACTCGCACAAACACACTCACTGAATGTAAACCTCTCAGTTGAATTTGTCTGTCTTTGTTTCACAAAGAGCTTAGCTGTGTGTCACCGTTAAATCCAAATTTCAAAATAAAACGTAACCTATTACAGTGTTAGGTATGTTGAAGTTTTAATCTTGGCACCAAGAAGTCTTGGAGTTCTGTGCACATTTAAACACACAGAGTAGTTACTTTGTTACCCTTGACTGGAAGATGTGGGCACCGTTTTGTTTTAGTATAAAAGTCTGCCGATGCTGAATGCACGACCACGTTGTTTTCTGAATGTTGGTCTCAGATTTAGTGTAAGGCTAAAAAAAACACATTAACAAGAAGCACAGCTCACTCTCTGGGCAGTATTTACTGTTAAGGAAACAGTACTATCGTTTATATATATGTGTGTGTGTGTGTGTGTGTGTGTGTGTGTGTGTGTGTGTGTGTGTGTGTGTGTGTCACTGGACATAAATAACTTGACCTTATTATATAGTATTTTAGTACTTCAGTATATTTCCAAATAATTAGACAGCACATTCTCTCTCTTGACTGTACTTACTTTAGTGATATAACATATTTTTGGGGTCAGCTATTAAAAATCATAGTTATCAGGCTTTCAGTAAACATTTTTCTCAAATAAATCATTAAGTCGACCTTGAAGACTTTGATGGATGAAAGTCATATTTTAATGGATAGTTAAGATGACCCCCCCCTACACCCCAGAATTCTTTCCAAACTGTCATGTTTACACACAGAAAGAATGGCACACACACAATTACCACGCATTACCAAAAACATAACCTCTTTGGTACTCCTCCGGAACTTTGGGACAAATAAATACATAAAACCCATCAAGTTCCAAATGCAGTGGGGGTTTTAAAATAAATTTAAAATTAGTTTCTCAACTTTCTTTGGCTTTCATGAGTATCATGTTACTAATGCTCGAAAAAGGACCTATTGCTTAAATGTATGTGTGCATGATATGCATGTTATTTTAGCACATGCATTCCCAGCTCTATTTGCAGAAAATAGCTGTGCTTTTTAAATAAAATCAACATGCAATCATAAGCACAAGGCCAAGATTTGTTATTTCTATCTGAGTGCAACACGCAGATGTAATGAAGTGTAACATAATGCCATTCTTTAAGGGAACCGAAAACACCAGAGCCTCGTATTACTGGGAGAGGCCCCAGAGAGAGAGACTTTGAATGATTTAAATGTGCCTGCAGAAGTTAAACCACTACATGGTGTCTAGCCTTAAAGTCATGTTGGCTTCATGGGCAGCTCATGAGGCATTCAACCATGATGACTACTGAGTCCTATACTCCAATGTAAGCACATCACAATACTAGAAATGCAGTAGTTTTGTACCAAAACCAGTATAATTACACGATTTTCAACCCCCTGAAATACAAAAACAAAATGATTGTCCTGTGTTTAAATAATTACTGGCAAATGTTTATATCTTGTTAAAGGACAAAGACCAGATATTAGGATGGTTGCGTTTACTTTGGGTCTTCATTCACAGTGAGGTTCCACGCTAACGGCATGTCAGTGCGAGGCTGTGAGTGTGTGTGTCCTGCACTCCCGTTCACATGGGCTTACCGGACAATGTCTGGTCAGGGTCAAGAGTGCTGGAAATCAACTGATTCCAGTCCCCTGGTCAGTCTAGTTTGAATGCTTTACAGAGTAACATGTAACAGACGTTCCTTAGAGGTCTGCTGGATATCAACAGTGTCAAATAAAGTTATAGCTTGATACACAGATTACACATCAGGGAGTAACAAGTTTATAAAAAACTTTTTTACATTGTACTCTGCTGAGATAATTGAGCTCTACTGCCAAGTGATTTCATGTTTTGTAAGTTCTTCATAAAGACAAGCAAGTTTAGCAACATTTGGCAGTAATGAGGATTTTTCCAAACTCTTGAAATTAATAAGAGAAAGCTGTTTTATGTGTGTGTCCTTTTGTATTTTTGCGTGTGTGTGTGTGTGTAGGCCAGCATTTCATGGACATCTTCGTTGTGTTTTTTTTAATTTATTTTTTTTGTGACATCACTGGGTTACTCTAGAAGAGAGCGTGTGGTTTCCCTGTAGAAACAAAGACGTCTGTGTAGGTAAATGCTGGAATAGAGTGCCATTTGCTATTTATAACCCAGGAGAGCAGGGTGACAGACACTGGTGTTCCCAAACTGTGTGTGTGTGTGTGTGTGTGTGTGTGTGTGTGTGTGTGTGTGTGTGTGTGTGTGTGTGTG